CCCCAGAATGAGAAACAACTTTAAATCATAATTATTGATGGATAAATAAACTTTTTACACGCTTTGGAAAATCTCAGAAGTTCGCGGTAGTCACTTTTCGGTAAGGAACTAAGGGACTCGGTTATTGTATCGAGCAGGGTTCGAAACGATCGCAAAGGCGGTATACTACGTATACGCGCCAAAAAAAACCGAAACAAAATATTTTCTTTAATTTTTTCATTTTGAATGGATTAGGCCAACTTGAAATGGGTTTTTCTTTTTCCTCTTCCTCTTCCGGTTTTTTAAAGAAACATTAGCGAATACTTGCGACACATTCGCGGAAATACGCATGTGTTACATTAGTCATCGATTTGACAACTTACTCGACGTCATTCCTAAAAAAATCAGTATTGTTTATTTGTTTTTATGGAAAAAATTCCGTGAAATTTTCAAGGGAAGTTTCTCCTCGATGAATAAACTTGACCGAATATTTCCATCATCTGCGATCAAGATGCGTAAGTCTCATAGTTTCACGATTGGTTGATAATTTTGATCTATTGTTTAGCTGGACGATTTCCAACTTGGAGCGAGTAGAGTTGCGAGCAAAAGTAAGTTGGAAGTTGACAAAGTTCAAAGTCATGCAAAAAAAGCCCACGTACCCTTTTATTAATGAATCCAAAATGTGAAAAACTGAGGCAGGTAAGGTTCAATTACTATACAAGTGTCTAATTCAACGATGATTGTGTATTTCATGAAGAAAATCTACTTATATCACACTATGATAATGCATAAATTCTTCTCCATGTCTCATTTCTCCTCTAAGAATGAGATGAATTGAACCTCCAATAGTATTTCAAAATTCCAAGGATGATTGATGAGGAAGAGAGAAGCTGAGAACTTACCTATGATTACATTGTTGGCACGCGAAGCACTCAAGATGATAGACGTTATTTCGGGCTCTCATTACCATTTCAAAAGCAGGAATAACTTTTGAGCATGCGGCGCAGTAGCCTGTGCTGCCAAATAACCTGAAAGACGAGATAAACATCAATCAGGATTCCTACATCAGTTCATTTTCGGAGTTTTAGTGATCTTAATAAATTTTACAGTTGCACAGTTAGAAATTGTTGAGTGAAATCTGCAGCATGTTTCGTCTCCAGAAAAAGGAGTGAAATTCGCTCAGTAAGATCGAGCGTAGTATACGCCCCAAAAAGAGTTGATTCCAATCAGTGTGGCGAGGCGTGAATGATCGATTATCGATATTTCCCCATTTGAAGCTATGGTGAAGAATCGGTTACTCAGGTGTTCGTTGCTAACACCCTCTTTATCGATACTTTTTCATTGGTTTAAATGACAGATTAATCGATATCGCAAGAACGCCAAGCCACCGATTCCATTCGGTATGAGCGAAAACCACTCCGCACTCTCATCACTTTCGTTGGCAGAGACGGCCTCCAGCAGGCTGATTATTGAAATCGATAAAGAAAGCGATAGACAAAAGAGACAAAGGGAAAACGGATCTATCCTATTGTTGGGAGCAATGGGTTAAGGAGGAAAATTATATACTAACTATGGGAGTCTCTTGTGGGTTGCCGTCCATTAGTTACTCTATTACTTATCTCGTTTGTCTATTGCTACCACCCACTTTCACCAATGGATCACTCCATTTTCCTTTTGTCCTTTTTGTCTATCACCGTAAATAATTAGCTCACAGGATGAAAATGCATTCCGGATTTCACACAGAGATTTTTAACAATTTCAGTGAAAATGATTCGACTTTCATGGATTCCTAATTTGCAGGTGTGTATAGATTTATTCGACTTGGAAGGTAGAGAAAGGAGAGATTGAGACGTAAAACAATACGAGCACATTATTGTGGGCTGTGCTGAAATCCCCGCAGCCAGAATGCATGAAAATCCTTAGACTGTCGGAATAAGCAGGGGAACAACAATATCACAAGCGCGCATAACCATTCCGAGGCCGCAGCACGCGAAATGAGCGCTAAAATCAGGTACCTATTACTTAAGTTTCGCTGAGATAATATTGATTAAGACTTGAAACCTCTCGCAAACCTGGTTGTTTGTTCGAGAGAGTCGTTAAGAAAATATTATTCCTAAGACGGCGGCTTTAAACCATATCCCATCCTCTGTTTGGAATCTCCCAGGTTGACAGATTGTCTTGAAATTATTGTTATTTAATCAATGAATTGGCATGAAGAGAAAATGACTGGATCATTTACGAACAAAAATATCTTAAAATCGTATAGATATGGTGAAGATTTAAGACTTCTTTTAGGATTGGTGTCTGATTGAATAATCAGACTTCGTGGTCCTCCAAAAAATTGGACGAAGCCGAAAATAAGTACATTGTTGAGGTGTAATTCTTAATGATAAGATTTGTAATCATTGCATGGGAACCGGTAATATCAATATGAGGAACGAAGTGAACTGGAATTGGACTACATTTTGCAATTAGGAACTATGAGTTCTGGATCAGTCTAGAAACAATGTATGTACCATGATTTTCCGTATGCACATTAGTGTTTTTACAGATGAGCCAGGAGTTATAGTTCCGAATCGCAAAATGTAGTCCAATTCGTACCACGCCGTAAAAAATACTTGCAAATTTTACAAGTTTGTTCTTATATAAAAAAATAGAAGCCACTAAAAGATTTCATTATGAGAGACTTCCAAAGTATTTTGAAAAAATTCCGCATGGGGGCTAAACATTTTGACAAAAGAAGCCCCTACAGGCCACTATTGGGCAAGATCCTGATGGGCAATACGCCTTTGAATATGACTTCAAAAAGAGATCAAAACCAATATTTCGTTAAAACTGACAACGGGTGTGCTTACAAGATAAGGGTGTGTTTGATGTTCGACCGAATGTTACGCAGGCAAATATTGGTATAATAACAATCTGTATTGTGCCAAGCGACAGATACAGTTTTCTTAAGGATAATATCTGCCTTGCGAAGATCCCACCGTCTCCGGATGCGCTGAATAAACAGGCAAACACTCCCGCCTCTCCACCAAGTGCCGCAACCACCCTTTTCTCTGACGGCGTAGACTTTTGGTTACTTGAACGGCGACCACTGATTTATGGATCCAAGTAACAAAACCAATCGCGAATATTTACCGTAATATCACGGCTTGAGTCCCTTTCTATCGGCGCAACCTATGATTCGATCTGGGGAATTATAGTTGACGACGAATGTGAAAAGACATTGCTTACAACAGTAAGATTCTACACTGAAAAAAAAATACACTGGATCTAGAGTCCAGACTCTTGAATACATTGACAAGAAAACATACTCTTGATTTAATCGGATTTTTGCTTGAATCAAAATGAAATCCGCTTAAATTAAGAGGCTTGGTTCTTGATTTAAGCTAGGTTCTGATTGAATCAAGAGTACTTTTTTTGTCGATGTTTTTAAGAGTCTGGACTCTAGATCCAATGTGTTTTTTTTCCAGTGTATTTGTGCAAATTATCTTCATGCTGATGGACAGAGCAAGGTTCCCAGATTTGGCATTGAAATATGGATATTTTACATGGGTTCAAACAGAGGAATGTGCTAATTTTTCAGCACCATTTGGCAACAATGGCACAGGGGAACGAGCCTTTAGAGAGGTTGAACGTAAATTGTTTATCAAAACTGTAATTTTGATGCTTGCTTCGCGACATGGTAAATTTTAAGGGGCGCTTGTTGGAGAATTTTACTAGTAAAAGAATGAATCCACTTTTAAATTTCTACAATTTTTATGAAAGAAGATATTGCTTTTGAATTTTTCACAGGATATCCCGCTTCTCCCATTGCATGAGTCACTCCACTGTGTGTTGGTAAAACTACAGATAAACATAAAGCTCAGTCTACTTTTAATGATGAATGAGTGCATGAGGATGGTATTAAACAAAATATCCTTAAAAAAAGCTTCATTTTATAAAATTTTACGCACTAGCTTTCATTGGTTCATGAACACTTGAGTGAAACGGTGACCTAAGATGTGGCAGGTATACCGACATGGTAAACGACGTCGTTTAAGTACGGAAGGAAACTTCTTTAAGAGTGAGCATGAAAGTTTTATTATGCAATTTTACAGTAAAATCTGACGTGCACATTACATACAGATATAAGTAAACAGAAGAGGGAAAATTGACGACCTAAATCTACAGGAAAATTGGAAGTTATCCCTTGAATGGTGACTTACCTTAAATAATCACGTTTACAGAGAATGAGATTGGCCTTCGTATACAGGGTGGATCCGACCTCGCCGAGTCTACAATCACAGCATCCGCATTTTAAACAATCTTCATGCCAGAACATGTCAAGGGCTTTCAGTAAATATCTGCAATGATACAAAACAAAGCATATTAAGCCTTCTGTTTGAGTATCTTTTTTTTCAATTATGGCGTAGAAAACTAACTTCAATTTCAACAAATTTTTCTAAACTTTAAATTATCATAATTAAATGATCAACATTAAATAATGACTGTTAAAAAAAAAAAAAAAAAAAAAAAAAAAAAAAAGCTACGCACAGTTTTTTAGAAGTTTCCAAGAAATTTCCAGAAGGATTTAAGGTAAAATCGCAAAAAAATTCGACACGATATTTACGTTTGTTCTGTTTTCTTTTTATCGAGCCAAAATTGATTTTACACGAATCAAGTTTCAGAATCGCTGCATCATATAAACATCGTCCAAGTTTCTGAATAGTTGCAATTAAGAAATATATATTTACTCTTCAATTGTGGTAAAAACCGGGCAGGGGCTGTCAAAAGAACTGACGCGTGGTCCTAATTTTGCGGTGCGTCGTGCAAGCCAGGGAATGGAGCACCGTCGAGTGTCGAGTTTCGAGTCATCTTCACAGTGTGACACGAGTTCAATCCAGTCAGCGGCAATGTACCTATACTCGTAGTCGAATAGGTATCGCAAATAACTCTCGCATTGCGTTTGGTGCAATGCGAGAAGTATTCACGCAGTCTTGTAAGCGCCAATATGCGCCGGACACCGACCGCACTGTTTGGCGCAATGCTTGAAGTATTCCTTCAGTCTTGCAGGCGCTGACATGAGTTCGACACCGACTGCACCGTATTTGGCGCGATAATTCGCGTTAAGATAATCGCCGCATCGAACAATGGGTTTTAAAAGGTCCATGTTGTGTTTCGACGCAGTATGAACATTCCAACGTTGCCTCGTTTCTCCCAATAATATACGAGGGGCGTTCAATAAGTAAGTATCCCCCCCTCTCTAAAATCCATAAGAATGGACCAATTTTAAAAAACTTGGGCTCAAAATCTTCCTTAGGATATTTTGAGTTCAACAAAACAAACCGCAACAAAATCGGACTATGTGCGGCCGAACGCGAGCCGTTTGAACGCGCCGAGGTGCTCGACGCTCCCGCCGAATCTGCGAGGATTTGAAGTCCGCTACAGGAGAAGAGCTTCTCTGCCAAAGCCTCAGTCGTTCATCACTGACGAAAAATCAAAGAAATTTTTGTAGAATAAGGGGCTTACCTCACTTCTCCACATAACCAGCTCGATCCAAGCAAGTCTGATACTGAGACTAAGACTAAGAGAACAGCTTTTGGATGCCTCGTGCGTGGAAGTCTTTCAGCTGACCGCGGATGAAAGAGTGGACGGCTTGTTTGACCTCTTCCACTGATTCAAAATTAACTCCTCCGGGTTCAGATTTCAGATACGATAATAAATGGCAAACCAGACCACCATTTATTCCCGTTCCTGAAATCTGAACTCGGAGGAGTTAATTTTGAATCAGTGGAAGAGGTCAAACAAGCCGTCCACTCTTTCATCCGCGGTCAGCTGAAAGACTTCCACGCACGAGGCATCCAAAAGCTGTTCTCTTAGTCTTAGTCAGTATCAGACTTGCTTGGATCGAGCTGGTTATGTGGAGAAGTGAGGTAAGCCCCTTATTCTACAAAAATGTCTTTGATTTTTCGTCAGTGATGAACGACCGAGGCTTTGGCAGAGAAGCTCTTCTCCTGTAGCGGACTTCAAATCCTCGCAGATTCGGCGGGAGCGTCGAGCACCTCGGCGCGTTCAAACGGCTCGCGTTCGGCCGCACATAGTCCGATTTTGTTGCGGTTTGTTTTGTTGAACTCAAAATATCCTAAGGAAGATTTTGAGCCCAAGTTTTTTAAAATTGGTCCATTCTTATGGATTTTAGAGAGGGGGGGATACTTACTTATTGAACGCCCCTCGTATTTTTTCCGGAAAAATTAGGAAAGTTCTCTATGTTCGCTTTTTTAGATTGCGAATGGACCATTAAACGAGGTACGAATTTAAGCACTCTGATACATGATTCTTCATCAGAATCTCACGCAGGACACGATTCGCACAACAAAAACTATTGAAATTAACTTCTAGCTAAGATATTAACGTTTTTACTACCGGGGACAACAGGAAAACCAATGTTTCAAACGGCGCATGAGGTGCGGGACCCACCGCGCGATCCCTCTATTTTTCCGGCCATCCGGGGACCAGGACCGACAAGCCGGTACCACACTGAAAAAAGATTCTCGGCGTTTTTACCAAGGTCCGTTGGTACCTTTACCATCTCACTTTTCTGATGAATTATTGGTATTTTTACCAAGACAGACAGGTAAGCTTACCTGAAAACCGGTATTTTTACTATTTTTTTCAGGTAAGAATACTACTTTTATTGGTAATCAATTCCCGGTAACTTTCCCATTTTATCTCAGTAATTCTACCACAGTCGATAAAAAATATTGACGTAAAATGGTAATTTTACCAAGAAAAAACTGGGATCGAATAGAACCCTGAATTCTTGGTAATTTTACCCTTTTCTTAGTAAATATATAGAGATTTTTTTTTTCAGTGCACTTGCGCTCGGATCAGCCTCGCGGTTCCGGCTGAATTTTAACCCGGAGGATCGGGCTCACGGAATTATATATTGTGATGAAGATTCCAACAAACATCAGTGGAAAATGAGAGGAGATAGAGATTTGGCCGCCGTAGTAAATCATTTCCATTGTTTTCTCGCCAATGCGACGCGTTGGAAATACCTTAAAGTCTGTGGGACTCTTTAAAAGGGGGCTTGTCCATGATTTTGACTCAAAATTACGCATTAAATCATCATGTAATCTATTCACCTGGTCCTTTCAAATTCTTAAATAAAAAACACTAAGTCTAGTGACCCATTCAGTTTTAATCCTGAAAATTCGTCAAAATTCTCCAAAATTAGCTGAATATACTGTAGGGACCAGTTTATTTGTCCAAATCACCCCGTTTTTTTCACCCTATCCTCAGCATGTTCGAGGAAATATACTTCTTTCGTAAATGAGTGAACTCTAAACGATTTTCTCTGTCACAAAACAACTTATAGTTCTTGTATTTACTTTCTCTCGCCATGATGCAATTATTCTATTTTATTACGTATATTCTTTAGACGAGGGGAATTTCCCAGCATATATAATTAGTATTATAAGTGGATGTTGCAAATATTTTTACACTGAAGTTTTCTGTATTGACCGCAAAACTAAAGTGGATAAGGATTGGCGATACTTGCGCATATCAACTCTTTGGATAACCCACCGGGAACCTTTTAAGTCAAAAATCTAGGACAGGTATAGAATTTGGGTAAGTAATACTCAAAAATATTTTAACTGGACGGAATTCGACTTATTTGGTTTCTCGTGCAGGATAGAAAACAGTTGCAATTTTACCTTTCTGTAATTTGTTTTCCGCACCCGGCACATTCCTGGGGCCCTCCGCTGGTGGGCCCGTTTTTCGGGGCCCCCGACTTCACATCCATCGTCATTTTTGACACCTGCAACAAACAGTGGGACAGAAAATTATATCTCAACCAAAAAAGAAATTTCAAAAGTTTAAAACATACGAGTAAACCACGTTGACATGTATAAAAAGTGTAATGATCAAAAATAAACTGGTCGCAAACAACGGACCAATGAACGATCGCGAAAAAAAGCTTCGGTTACGAGGAATTAATTTTGGTTTATGCGGAACACCGAACAATTTGATCCAGGTGATTGAAATTCTCAATTATAGAAGCCAAACTTCGTATCACATACTCGAAGTTTGTTGTAGATAATACCTACTGTTTTCAGTATGAATAACAAAAACACTGTCACCTGTACTAAAGTTTGGTTCCTAAAATCGAAAATGTTTTTTTTTTTTTTTTCGTAGTACCCTCACCGAAAAAAATCATGTTGCTGATTTAGCAATTTTGTGGTTTAAAAAAGTGCCCAACATGTTTAAATGAAGATTTTATAACCCAAAAAAGAAATGCTAATTCAACCACCCCCGTGGTTAAATCAGCTTTCCACTATTAAAAATGTACATTTGAAACATGTTGGACATATTTTTTAACAATTTGAATGTTAAATCAGCAATCCATTTTTCCGTGCTCGACTTCGATTAATCGTGCCCCATGGAGTTCTCCTCATTAAACGAATTCCAGCTTGTTTTCTTCCCGTGCAAGTAAAATCAAATCAGTAAAATCATATTTCCAATAGCCGCGGAGAAACAAACATTTCCACCGAGAAAAAAATCTTGAAAAGCTATTTAAAACTTAATTTCTAAATTTCGAATCACTCAGCTCGACCGCGCGGTTTCACCTCTCCCCTTTCCCGGATGAAAAAAATTAAACGGCAAGAAACGAAGTTACCGCAATTAAAAAGAAAGAAAGCCTTACAGCGAGTTCACAAAGTGAAGTTACAAATTAATTCCGCAGCCGTTTTTTTGCATCATTAACTTACACGCGGGAAAAAAAGGAATTTTATTAATTTCCTACGGCGGGAGAGGGCTGAGAAAGTATCGAAGACGTCTTAAAACCTCCCTTTTTAATTTGAGCTTGTTTCCTTTTTTAATTGAGTGTTTCGATGCTCAACTTCGCCACTTTTACCCCCGCGAGAGCGCGGTTCAGCGCAACTTCAACATCTTGTTTTTTTCTCGAGGTGTCCGCGTGACTGAGCATCGCTCGTCGGATTACGTCGAGTGCTAAGACCACTTTCTAATGAATGGATAAATTATTCGATCTTTGTCTGCGGTTAATTGTGTGAAAGTTGAATATTTAAGTCGCTGGACGACATAGTCGGATCCACACAACTCGAATGGGGTGGAGGAGGGGTCCGATGGACTTCCTCCAGAAAATTTTCGAATTTTGAAAGAGTCTAAAATGCAGTGTGCGTCAATTTCGTCATTTTAGAGGGTCTTGATACTAAAGGCAGTACCTCTAATTCCGAAAATATCATACTTTTTTAACTGTAAAAATTGCTGTAAAGTGGTGCTGCTGATACTAGTATGCTCTGCTCTCCCAGATTCTTCACGTCTCCGTATCGTTGCAGAACTCTCCTGCACGGCTCGTTCTAAAACCGTCGGTTCCCGCTCGAAGGGACGTAACTCCATTCCAGGGTTGCAAAATTGACTCAAACAATGCGATTTTTACCAAAATGTACCTGTGCAATTTGTTTCTAAAATTTTTCTGCTGTTTGCATGAGATTAGCTGAAAAATCAGTGAAATTTTCAGTAAGAAATGCCCAAGATTCTACATTGAAATTGCAATTTGCGTCCAAAAGTGTTCTGCTTTTTGCATGAAATCAGCTGAAAAATCAGTGAAATTTTCAGTAAGAAATTCCCAAAATCCTACAGTTGAAATTGGAATTTGCGCAGGGGAATTTCGCAACATTGGAAATATTGGAATTTAGTTACGTTCTTTCGTGCACTGAAAAAAAGTTACGAGCTATGTAGAGTAGACATCCGTCCGTTCCGGACTCAGAGGCCGAAAGTTCCGAGTGTTGGAGCCTTAACTTCAACTGCTCCGGATGCAACACCCGGAGCTTTCGGCCTCTAAACCCGGAACGTACACGGTATGTCGCTATATAGCTTGTTAGTATGGCTCCTACCACCGGATTTTTTTTTTTTCAGTGCGGGGAAAACGACGAAATTTCGACTGGATGACGACACCGAGGAGCATCCCGATTGTCAACGTCGGCAACTCTGTCTCCCTATCTTTACGCTCACATTACCGCTTTATCGAAAAACGAAACTGCGGCGCTTACCACTCGTTTCCACCGCACCCGCCAACGATGCCGAAAAACAACCGCTTTCCCCCATTAGAACAGCATACAAAGTAGGCGAATTCTCAATTCAATCCGGCAAGCCTCCGATCGCGTTCGAGGCGCGAACCCCCAACAATGCGAGTGCGAAGCCGGCGCGGGGAGGGGTAATGGCTAATAGATGAAGCAAATGATAAAAAGTTAAATCAACGACGACATGTTTTGCATAAAATGTTGGTCTTACCGGGGCTTCCCCCTCTCGCTCGGTTCGAAATGATTTAATTTTCCCGCGCCTCCGCCGCCGCGCCGCGCCGGCAGATAAGTTGGCGAATAAAACAAATTGCCCAACTTTAAGTATGTTATTATGATATTTGAATAAAATTACAATTTTTAATGCGCGCGGGAAGTGTGCTCGCCGCCAGTGACGAGTAATAAGACGCGGCTCCTCCGAGATTGAGCGCTACCTGATTTCTCGAGCATATTTGTCACTTTAAGAGGGTCGCCGCTCTTTCATTTCCGCCGAGTTATTGCTCCCTTTCGAACGAGGAACACGATCTCCGTCGAAAATATAATTTTTCCGCTTTCGGCAAAAATCCTAATGTGGGGCTTCATTTTTTGCGTAATGCGATGCGATCGAAAATACTAAAATTATAACTATTTGGTGAATTTATATTTTGGTGAATATAATAATTGGTTATATTTTGCTGAATTATTTTGGGAAAATCGAAATTTCAGCCAATGGATCATTATGGAATGTTAGTCCCAAAAAGCATCTTTCAAAATCTTAAAATAAAGGCAAAAGAAGTGTCTCCATTTTGCAACCAATCTCAATTATGGATATCGGTTAATTATTGGAAACAGTGCTTTCGACTTTGTTTTAAGACGGACGACGACAAATTCTACTGACTGAAACTCGAAAAAAATACTTCAAGTCGTTACGTAACGCTTGTCTCTATACCCCCCCCCCCCCNCCTAGATCATTTTGCTTGGAGGGACTGGAGGGGGGGGGTATTCAAGAATTTTTTTTTGGGGGGGGGCAGATGATACTATTTTAAATTCTAGGGGGTCCGGCCCCCCTCGGATCCCCTCTTCCTATGCACATAAGTAACGCCGCGTCACGCTCCCCTTCGGAGCTTTACGTTACTTAAGGACGGCCCCTTACTGAGACGCCTCACGGATCGTTTGAATAATGTAACACCACCAAAATCATACGACGCCAATTATCCAATGCTAATAGTTACGTTTGATGCGTTTCGGGGCGCCGCTAATCCCTAACATCTGGGAAAGAGGGATCCTTCTTCGTTAAGGCTAGCCTACTCCTATACGACCGTTAAATTACCGAGTGTTGGCGGTCTAGACGGAGATAATTGGTTTTATCGTGGATTTTCGGCCGAAGATACCAGAGTTTAATGTATTCGTATCGAAAGTCATTTGGACGTATTTCTGCCGAACGGAACTATGTGCATTACGACGTGAGACCTGGTATGCATATATTCCTATGGGTCGCAGGGCTCATGTCTTAATGCACGTAGTTCCGTTTGGCTTTGTCGAGAGTCGAGACTTGAGCTCGAAGGCGGTTAATTTGGCGGCGCTCGTTAGACGGCGCGCGACCGTCTCAAGTGCGACCCCATTAGAACCCGATCTTTCGGGCACAATGAGAGTTAATTAATCCAGGAAGGTCACAGATCCGGCTTCATCCGCGAAGAGCGCGAAAAGGCAAATTTCTCTCGTTGCTGCCCTTAAAACGGAGAGTTTCACGGAAACGCTTCCGTGACTTAACCTTGACACTTATACCGCCGTGCTGAGGAAAAACGCCGTATGAACCTTCAGGCGTTACCGAATTTCCTTGGATAAAACAAGAATTTGCTGGTGCACAAATGAATATTTTCGCTCCAATTTTTCGTATAATTTTGTTCGCAATTTCACCTTAAGTTCCTAAAAATGTCAAGGGAAAATATTCACAACTTTCTTCAAAAATAAACATTTAATCGAAGGAAATTTCGCAACTCTCGAATGTTCATACTGCGTTTTTCCTTAGGACGGCAGTATAGGATATAATATTGACTTTCTCCGATTATCCAAAGTTGTTACGTTAACGGTTTAATTATCAGTCTCCAAAAGATTAAGGTGATTTCTCCTAGGAGTAAACAATTTCGATTTATCGAGCAAATTTAGCAAAAATACGAGTTTTTCTACAAAGAAAAATATAAATGCAACAGTGTGGAGGCATAATTCAACAATCTGTTGGTGAAAAATCTCTTCCAAAAACCCTAAATTAAGACCAAATTGGATTATAGGCGAAATTGTATTAGATTTGTCAGATCGAACTGGAATTCTTACGTTAAGCCTATTTGGCTTTAAGGATTTTTGGGAGAGATTTTTCACAAACGGACCTTTGAAGTACGCTTCTATACATTTTTACAAATATAAATATGGGTCGAATTTTGCTATTTTAGTGGAATCATTGAGATAATACTTTATATTGAAATATTGAAATCAAATTTTGAAGAATACTTGATATGAAACATTTGATTTTAACTGCTCTCTTCGGTCACATGACAGATCAACAGATCACAGAGGGAAAATTTAACCTCCAAAAGTGATCATCGGCCGGTTTCTCTGAACGAAAATTAAATCCTATCCTCCGTCTGTTTACCATGGTTGACAACGGGTGACCTCACGCTTCAAACTTGGAAGCGGATACAAATGGGCCACGGCGAGACGCGGAGGCCTTCAAAGGGGCCACAGCCGC